AGGAAATACTAAGTATAATAGAGTAATGAAGGAAAAAGAGGGAAAAAAGAACTAATGAAAAACCTGAACTTAGATTTTTAAAAAAAAATACAGAAAATTTCTGAACATTTTCAAATTTAGGCGGGCGCGCTGGAGCATTTTCTGGACCCCCTATGGAACCGTAGCTTCCGGCCGACCGACCCCGCGATTCGCGAAGTTGTGAAGTTGTGACAGGAACAAGGGAAACCCACCCCTGCTCCTCTCCCCCCTGCCCCTCCCGTTGTTTGACGTCATTTGCAATCGCATTTCGCATTATGTATTTACTCCGGGTCCTGTGAAATGTTAATGTTTCTGACAGTAATGGCATTTTTAACTTTTTCCCGTTTGTTTGGAAAAGCTTCGCCGCACAGCTCCGCGCGGAGTCGCCGCTGCGCCCGAGGCTGTTGAGAACTTCGGTCGCCGAGGGCAAAACAAATGCAACGCCCGCTTTTACGCTATATTGTCCCGGTTTCCGCAAAAACGCCTCCGTTGTAGTACGATGCTACCCTGTTTACTAGATCCGGTACAGGGTGTTCCGCAGGCTTGTCATTACGGGCACGAAGGGTGCTCACTCGTGTGGGGCTCCTTCGTGGGCGGGGTTGCCGATAGGCTGGAAAATCGGGAGAATCGGAAAAATCAGGGAAAGTCATGACGTTTTCAGGAAAAGTTGGGAAATTTCTGGAACATCTACTAATCACTGAAAAAAGTCACTGATTTTCCAACTGTTTCCCTTTCCGGTCATTTTTAAGGCTTGTCATCCGTTAACCAGCTACTAATTGCTTTTTTCATAATTTGATCCCTAAACGAGGGCATTTGGCCATAACTAACAATAAGCGAAAGTCAGCGTAAAAAAATAGGTGGAAATATTGTTCGAAGGTGAGGGGAAGTCAAAGATTTTTCTTTTTGCTTGTACGTCTAAAAAGCAGAAAAACACGTCGTTTATTAACTGTTGGAAATGCTCGAAACGTCTTTAAAAAAATGCAAGAGAGCGGTAAACCGTCGGAGTCTTTTATGTGTTGTCTCGTACAAGAAATTTCTCAATTTCCAGATAATTTCCCCACCGATCACGCGATCCGTGCCGTCTATATCAGGAAAATTAATATCGTCTGGAAAAATCGGGAGAATCTGTCATGGACCAGGAAATTCCTAGTTAATCTAGTATTTCTCAACCACATGTAATTTGGGGCATTCAAAAGTGAAACATTTGATTCAATCTATGAAATACGTTAGCTTGTAAAATCAAGCAAGCCTCAATTTCTTCAAAATCAAGAAATTTCATTCAAAAATATCAGGAAAATCCAAAATGAGATTTTATTGGACACGCTGAAGCACATTTTTCGTCTCAAGAGTCCATACGATGGCGAACGAATTCTTCCCCCGTTGAATACGCACAATTGCCTCCGAAAGTAGGCAAGGAGTATTTCAAAGGCCTCCGCTCTCGGCGACGCGATAAATTCGGAGGCCTTGAAAGCGAATCTGGAAATTAATGACTTTACAAGGCTGCTTGGGACCCGATCTCCTGTCAGTAGCCGCTATACGTCCCGCTGTCGCATCTCACGCCTACGGTAGCGAGGCGTGAACGATCGACTATCAATATATTCCCATTTGAAACCGTGGCAAAGAATCGATTATTAAGGTGTTCGAAGCTAACACCCTGTTAATCGATCCTTTTCCATAGGTGTAAATGGCAGATCAATCGATGTATCGCGAAGCACGCCACGCCGCACATTGGTTCCAGGGCCCGATCTAGGTGGCATTAATTAGAATATCACTGATGATGACATATTATATATGTTTCTAGGGGTTCTTTGGGTCGCTAATTACGAATTTGAAGTCAATTTGACTGTATCTTTTAGCATAAGGTGGTAAATTTGCATCTAGCTTGAAAATTCATACTTAATACTACATTAATAATATTTTAAAATGGCTGAATTCCTGGACTGATATATTTTTCAACCTTTTTTGATTTATCATCAAAAACTATCATGAATTTACGAGGATTTGTCCTCTAATTACTAATTTTATTATGGGGGGGGGGGCAATGTTGTATAATTTTGTGAACCAGGAATTGGTATTATCTGGTAAAATATACCTCCTAAATGTTGTGGTTGTGGTTTCCCTGAGGAAAATAAATTCCAGTACCAAAGAAAACTGCTTATCCCACTATTCGAGTTGTTCATACAGTGTTGACAAATCAGCGTAAGAAGAACTTTATTTGAACCTCAATGCTCGCTGATTTCTTGATTCGCCGCGCTTTAAAACCAACAGAAATTTTGAAGCTTCGTAATTTAATGGTACAATTATGCTATCAGAATTATTATATTATCAGAATAACTATGAATTAAGATTCGATCTTCGTCTATAATTCAAAAAATACATTTAAATTCATTATACGCGGCAATTTAAACACACATAACATAAATATTTTACTTGAACAAGAAGTATAGGTATTCACTCAATGAAGGAAAGCAGAAACCAAAATTAATGACAAAGTATTTTGAAAGAAAAATGATTACTGTCTGTAGGAGCAGGAAAAATATTCATCGGTATAATATTTTATTGCGCATCAAAAAGAGTGAGGTGTCACACTTGCTTTTTTTCTTTTTGAAACAAAGTTGTGAGCTTGCGATGATTTCAGAGCCTTACAAACCTGAGAGAATAAAAACACGAAGAAATCATGAACCAAGAAAGAAATAAGCATTCGTCGTTAAGTTAGAGGACATTTACTCATACGATCACGGAATAATGCGCGAGGAGTGCAGTAAGCTCCTTTTCTGTGGAACATTGCTATGTCTATGGGCCTCTCTAAAGGTACAGACAATGTGAAAAACAATTATCTAAACGATTGAGAGGATTTAAGAACCCACGTGTTCTGTATTTTGAGCCATTATTGTAAAATTTCTAGTCAAAAAACGGGAACTGTCTTTAGTCTATGGGCTTCTCTACAGGTGAAAAATAATCATCCCAATAATTGTGAGGATTTGAGAACTCAGGTGATGTGCAAAAAATGCAGTCCTCAAAGATTTGGAGTCTGCAGTAGTGCAGTAAACTCCTCAGTGTGTCAATTGTCTTCATTTCTCGAAGGCCGGTTTTGGAAATTCAAAGTGCGCTAACCTCCAGGGACGCAAGTATGCGCAGAATTTTTTTGCTCCGAAATCAAGTGTAGGGTCAGCACTAACTACTACAGTCGGTCTGCACGTGTGCGAACCTACGCAGGGCCTTTATTTTGAGTCATAATTGTAAAATTTCCAGTCAAAAAACCGGAGATGTGGTAAGTCTATGGGCTTCTCTAGAGGTATAGACAAAGTAAAAAATAATCATCTTAACGATTATGAAGACTTGAGAACCCACATGACCTATAAAAAATGCAGTATTCATATTCCCAAGGATCTGAGGTCTGCAGTAAGCTCCTTAGTGTGTCAATTCTTTATTTCTTGAAAGCCGGTTTTGGAAATTCAAAGTGCCCTAACCCCCAGGGACGCAAGTATGCGCAGAATTTTATTGCACTAAAATCAAGTTTAGGGTTAGTACTAACTACTACAGTAGGTCTGTATGCGTGCGAACCGGCGCAAGACATTCATCTAGAGCCATTTTTGTAAAAATTTGCTTGGAATTAGTGGAAAATAACGCTTTGTCTAACGGCTTGTCTAGATGTATAGACACGTTTTTGAAAGATAGTAAGAACGTATAAACCTTTAACACGCCTTATATTTTTGATACACCATAACAGAACACTTCACATTTGCATCTATTTCTGTGTGATGAACTTCAAATCATAGGACCTGACAGTAAACACTGAAAACTGGTGCGAGTCCGCCCAAAAGTACCTCGCGGCCTCATCTTTAGGTGCTTATCATTTCCTTATAAGTGATCCAATCTTCATGATATTTGGCCAAGTTACTCTCGAGAGTATGCACTATCAATCTGTGGTGTCAAATTTTAATTTTTCCAAAATTCATTTTTTCGAATTAATGCCACCTAGATCGGGTCTCGGAACCAATGTGCGCCGCTGCACGCCGGCCGAAAGCCCGCTTCCCGGCGGGAAGTTTTCACGGGAGGGAAGTCGAACTAACGCGGATGTTGATGCACAGCTTAAAAAGGACTCCCTCTCGAAGTGTGAAGCATGCTTCAACAAGTTGATAGGATTTCCCGCACGGGTTCCAAGGGGTTCACAATGGGGCCGACCAGCTCCGTCGAGAGTTGGCGAGTAAGACCCTAATAAGGCTGTGCCCAACTTTTCCCTCCTTTCTACTGCTACCAACCGTCTTTTTCTACGGAAACGTCGATAGGGAATCGAACTGCGCATCAAGGAGCTCGGAAGTTGACTCTCTCTGTATACCCGGCACGAAATATTCGCTACCTATGGACCGTATTGACCGTTTCGTGTAAAATTTACCTTCGGGGATCACCGCCATTTTCGCCAAAGTGATGGCTCAAGAGCGACGGGGTTTTTGGATACAACTATTTCGGCTCCGGCATGCCCGCTTTTGCCTGTTTCAATATTTGAAGGAGAAAAAGCATGATAGGTACCACTATTTCGACTCGTACAATGTGCCCGCTTCACTATTTGAAGCCCAAAAAGCATGATACCACTATTTCAACTCGTGTGTGCTCGTTTTTGCCTGCTTTACTATTTGAACGCGAAAAAGTATGATACAATCATTTCGACTCCCATGATTTTGCCTGCTTCACTGTTTGAGGACGAAAAAGCATTTTAATGTTGCCTCACTTTTTTGACCGGGTCGAAGCAGGTCTACTAGCGCACACCTGAAAGAACCTAGGGAAGCGAGAAAGTAAAAAGAAAACCGAGAAACTTTTCAAATGCCTTATTCTAACCATCCACAGAGGTATTTCTGTTGGATTGATAGAAATTCTAATTAATAATTCATAGACGAGAAGTCTCGTTTAATCGACAAGAAATCTTGTTTCAAACGGTATTTATTTTTAATTGATGGTAATCTTTGTTTGTTGCAGATCAGTCATTGATGAAATCCCTCCACCGATGGTCTTAAAATTAACGAGTAGCTCCTACGATACCGTTACCACAAAAATGAAAGGTAAGAGCATTATCATTCCGCATGACTGGTGTATATTCTTCGATAAGTCAGTGTAGTTTCCCAGCACTGTTATCACTTCCATCTGTGTTTTAACTTAACAATAAGTGTCTGTAAGGTCAATAAATGGGCTACAGTTTTTCTTTTTTATCTCTGATTTATCCACCCTATTCTTTTATTTTTAAATTAACATCGCTGGACGAAAATATACCGAAACTGAGGAAAAGCACCGAAATTTTTTTTTAAATAGCATCTCATTTATCACCTGAAGCGTTGTACAATTTAGGGATGACGGCCACCGGTCGTTTTTCCTCATTTTATTCTTTTTTTCCTCCTCCTTATTAAAATTATCAATTTACACGGAACTCTCTTGTATGGTCCAGTCAATTTTAAGTCAAAATAAATATTCGAGCAAAATCTTTCTCAGTATTGGACGAAAATGTGTCATGGATTTAATAAACGCGTTTCTTTCTGTATCTTCCTCCCGGAGTTTATCAAATTCACCGAACTCTTCTGTATGGGCTCGTTAATTTGAAGTCCAAATAAATATTCGAAAAAATCTCTCTCAGGATTTTGCGAAAATGTGTGAGATTTAATAAGCGCGTTCCTATCGAACACGGTTTTTTGATCGGTAGCGTTGCCTGGCGGTGCTGTATTGGTTTCAACACCTCGCTCAAAGCCATCCGACTTTCTTCAGACGAAGTGACAGTTAATAACAATAATTCTTCCCGAGAAAATTTCGTCGGCGGCCTCCGAACTTCTGAGAACGCGCTGAAATTTTGTCACGCGGCGTTTCCATTCATATCGAGGCCCGCTTGTTGATGCCGGCTGAAATTTTTTCAGCTATCGTCGGCCGGCCGGCCGACCACCATTCATTACGAGGACGTTCACCCATGCCGTCTGAACATCGTTTCCGACGTGTCTGTCAAAATTTCCGCGAGACCTACCCGATGTTTTGAGTTCCGAAGAAGCGTCATTCATTCAGCTATTTTCGTTTTTCAGAGAACGGTTGATTGAACGAACAGTCGAAAATTTTGGAAGGAATAGGAAATCTCAGAAATCGTGCGCGCGCTCTGACAAATACCTAGACGAACGACCGTTAATTTCCTTGAGCAATTCTCACGTTTGTAAACTAACCAAATATTATTGAAGAATCGGGCCATTAAATCAGAAACCGGGCTGATTATTGAAACTGATAGACAAAGCGGTAGACAAAAAAGGCAGAGGTAAAATGGAGCGATCCTATCAGTGCAGTGGAAGCAGGTGATTGCAACGGACAAAGGAGGTAAGTAATAGACCAATCAACGGAAGACCCTTAGTCTGTCCATCATTTCCCCCCTTAGTCCGTGATAACAACCCGTTTTAAACCAACAGTATCGCTCTATTTCCCCTTTGTCTTCTTTGTTTATAGATTTGTCTATCAATTTCAATAATTAGTCCGCAGCTCGAACCTATAGAAAAGCTCGTCAATTTGATGCCAACAGTTCGTCGTTTCCTGGTCGAAGGGGCCATAGGCGGATCCAGCAATTTGGCAACACCGGATTTCCTCCATTTGAACCTATGTTAAATAATCGATTCTTGTCGGAGCACCTGACCCCTCTTAGAATCGATACATTTCCATAGGTTTAAATGGAGAAAAACAACGTTGCCAATTTGCTGGACCCACCAATGAAAGGGGCGGAACTCCATTCCAAGGTTGCCCCCATAATTTAATAGTTTATAAGAATGTATCTACCTATACAGTGTCTGTTCAAAATTTTTCTGACTTTTGCATGAGATCAGAAGAAAAACCTGTGAAATTCTTAATCAGACTTTCCTAAGATTCTCCTGGTGACAATGCAATTCGTGAGGGGAAGTTTGGCAACACTGAAATATAGTTGCGTTCTTTCCTCCGGGAAACGGCGAGCGAACCGAGGCACTGAACTGTCCACGTTACCGTCATATTCTGCAGAGCTGCAATCTGTAGAAAAGCGAGCGAGCGAACAAGTCGTCTCAACGCAAAACCCTTTCGAAGCAAGAAAACCACTCAGCAAAGAAGTTCTTGATTGAAAATACGCCGAACAGCGCACATTCGCACTCCTGACCTAAAACTTGGAGTTCTAGGTAGCAGCCAGCGGGCCAAGTCGATGCGTGACGTCACTTTTACGAAGTTTATGAACATGGCAACTTACACCCGCGCAGAAACGAATTATGTTTCCCGGAGTTCGGTCCTTATTTTCCAACTGAGGCTAGTTAGCCGCGTCGAACAAGCCCGAAATTGAGGCATTCTTCTGTAAGGCGCACCGGAAAAAAAATACATTGGATCTAGAGTCCAGACTCGTAATAACATCGACAAGAAAAAGTACTCTTGATTCAATAAGATTTTAGCTTAAATCAAGAACCAAACCTCTTAATTTGAGCGGATTTCCTTTTGATTTAAGCTTAAATCTGATTGAATCGAGAGTGCTTTTTCTTGTCAATGTTTTCAAGAGTCTCGACTCTAGATCCAATGTGTTTTTTTTCCAGTGCGGGAATCAGCCATATTTTCACTTTGGTTACTAACGCGTTCGGGAGTTCGAGTTGCTGTGCTTCTGAAACTGCGATATCTTCTTTCCAAAAATGAAAGCCAAGTTTGCACAACACAATCAAATCGTGCTGAGACCACCGATCTCCGTTTTTCCAATTTAGAGATTTGAGAAAAAAATACAACCGCGGGGTGCTCTGCCGTGATAGCGGAGAGAGCCGTAAGTGCCAAATTTTCGAAATCGAGTTTTCTTCAAAATTCGCCTAAACTCTTTTAGATGAAATTACTGAGACAGCTAAAACAGCAAAATTCATCCGAATTTAATGAAAACGAGACGTATGATAAAGCCGTAAGTGCACAAAAAATGACAGTTTTTTTCAAGACAGCCGTAGGTGCATGAGAGCCAATGAAAACAGTGCTTTCAAGTGAAGTGCCGCCCTCTTCTTCGAATTTCTAACCTGAAAATGCGTTTGTTGTGAGTTCAAAACGCAACCACGAAAGTTTGCAGAAGATTGCACTTACGGCTGTCTTGCCTAACAATAACCTAGCACGAAAATGAAAAATGCCCTCTTTATGTAATTGAAATAAAATCAGTCGCTATTTCATCATCCAAACGATTTCTAGGAGTCTTTCGGACGGTTTGTGGCAATTTGACAAAGAACGAAGGCTTCTTTCATTAAAATTCACTGGTCAGAAGTTTCTGAGCCCGTTTTCTTAAAACTTCATGTTTGCACTTACGGCTCTTTTCGCTATCACGGCAGTGCTGTACGGACGTACAGATACGGGCCGACAAATCGAAAAGATTTCGCCGTGTCTTTTCTTCGATTCAATGTTTTGAAGGCGCATTGACAAAAATACTTGCGTGTTTTCGAATTACAGAGCTACTGACCACCCAATTTTGACTTATAGAGCGTATTTCAAAATCTTTTCATCTCGAATTCGCTCCGAAACTGCGAAAATAACGCGAAATAAATATTCAGTTTCTTCGATTCCGAATTGGCGCACAGTGGATCGAGTCCACAGGAGAGGTCGGACGAAATTTGGAAACTTAGAAAGATTTAACTCAAATCATACAAAACTTTGAGGTTTTAAAAGTGGTTCCATTGGTTTTCTCGTAAAATTATCTTCTAGAACCACTCTATGAATTTTAAAATGTGACAAAATAAACATCGAAATTTGTTGTTTTTGCCAGAAATTTCATGCCTGGCCTTTCTAATTGACTCGATCCACTGTGTGGCGAGAGAGCAATGTCTATGGAAAGAAGTTTTAAAACTCGCTCCCTGGAAAATTTCAAATTTACTGACGGGTTCATGCGAATCCGAGTGTCGCGTGAATATGATGATGGCTGGACGGCCGAAATGCGTCGTTTTTTCAATTTTCCAGCAAGTAAGTGTTCCGCTATTTTTCCCATTAATTTTATGCCAGTGGTAATGGTGTATATCAGCAATGACAGTTTATTCCGTACTATCACAATTATTCAGTATCTTCTGAAAAATCGTTGTTAAGTCAGGGGCGGATTGAAAATTTAATAAGCAGGCTATAGAGAGTCCGAGAACTCCGCCATTATTGCCAAGCTAATGAAAAATGCCGTATGAGCATTTTGTCGCCCTCCTGGCATAAAGGTATAACTGCATTGCTCGATGAGCCCTGTCGTCCATTTAACTCAATGCTTTTCCGGGCTCATTTCAATGTGCAGTTACACCCTTCTGTCAGCCAAGCGGCGATTTGAATGATGTCTAATTTCCCGCTGGACCATAGTTAGGTTAGGTTATAGGTTATATACATAGTTATATAGGAATAGTAATATGAATATTTTTCATTGGAATTTTCCGATACCTCAGATTAAACTGCCAAAAAAATTCTCTGAAAAATGGAAGAAAATGCTTCTGAGTTTTCTTGACAATTCGTTTGGGGAACTGTTTAGCGTTTCTAATTGAAAATTTCACCGATTTTTCTTCTGACTAATTGCTCGCATAGTTCGGAAAAATATTCTACATAAATTGCTTGATCATATTTTCGTGAATAATCGAAAAGTTTGAGTCAATTTATAAACCTTTAAATGGCTTGACGTTCTTCCGTCTGAAATAAGAGCAGCTATCCCTCTGCAAATTATCTAACATAAAGTTTTAACTTCAACATCGCGACGAAATTTAAAACTATCGACCTGGAACCTCAAATTCTTCCCCTCTTGTATGTGTAGGCCAGGGCTATGCATCAGTTTTTGAAATTGGCAGAAATATTAAGAGCTTCATGAACTGCAAGCTTTTAAACCTTCAGAGACATCTCGTAAGGGGTACACCCTGTGGAATAGAGAAATTTTCTCCCCGTCCTGTCAGAAAGTGCTGTCATGTTCAGTAGCGGGTTTACCGAGAGTTTTGACACATCGAGTGACACCGCTCGGTATTGCCATCGGTGCACCCAGCCCCGGTCCCGCCCAGTGGAGTGGCATGCTTTGCGATTTATCGATTGATCTGTCATTTAAACCCATAGAAAAGGATCG